GTAACAACATACCGATGTTACACTTTAAAAAAATCTTTTTTGTTGTTACACTTTGAAAAAATTCGATTGTGTTGTTTCATTTCAATAAATTTTTTTATTTTTGTTTCACTTATATGTGTTGTGAATAGAAGTTGCGTTTTCATTCTCGGACATTCATATCATAATAATCAAACTTTTAATTTTTTTCTACAGTGAAACTGCCCGCATTGTTTGATTTGGTTTTCAGACAAAGAGCAAAAACATTCTTCGCTACTCGCATGGATGCTCAATTTGGATGGAGGTTTCGTAAAGAAACTACTGAAAAATGGGCTTTCGAAGAGATTATTCGCCGTTATCATCACTCTAAAATATTTTGTTCAGGTATTTTAACATATTTGAATGTTTTTGATTGTCTTCAAATTGCGAAATCAAGTATTTCAATTTTGTTGGATTTCGAATCAATTTTTGTGAACGCTGTTCACAATTTGTATTCATTTTGGTTTTAACTCATTTATTTTCAAACCGACTACAGCATGGGGAGCTATCAGCTTATGAAGCAAATGCAATCTTGTTCACTGAATATAATATAGATCAATCTGGTGCAAGTAAAGTGGAGCTTCATAATGTGCCGAATATTCACTACATTCGAATCGCTCATTTGTACGTGAAAATGTACGTCGTCATTTCGCATTGCATGGATATCTGTGGTTTTCGTCACATGACTGTAAGTATTTATTCATACTTTTGCTTGATCGCAAAATTCAAATTGCCTTTCATTTTAGAATTTAATTCGATTTGATGGGCCCGTCTTCCTTAAAACTATGGATGAATTCGAAACAAACTATGACCAGCAGAAGCAACAACTCAATGCAATCGGACTGGGTTTCTTCACAAACTAATATCGTGCACTTCTAATGCGGTCAAACCCAGTCTTTGAAAAGAAAAATCAAACGAATAGATGGAATTCGTATTTTTAATAATAGCGCAAACCCATCAATGATTATCAAAATAATATTAGGACACACATTCCTATCTTAGTTCAAATGATACTCTAACGAACTTTTGATATCTAAAAAGCAGCCATCATTTAGCTCATGGGCATAGTCTCTCATTTATTTATTTTTTCTATTTTCTGTTGCTCGCAAAAATACTTGCAACAAAAGATTTTGCCATAAACAAACATTTTTCACTCAATACAATGGTTGAAAAATACAATGGTTACCTTTACGATTCATTTATAGCATTGAAATTCCAAATGAATTTCAAAAATGAAAGCCAACAAAAAAGAAATATCCCCAAAGCAAGCAGTCAATTTTCTGGAACATTTTTCAAGAAAACACAGAGTAAAAACTCATTTTTTTCAAATCGTCTTTCTTTATTTTAAACAAATTTTATGCTAATGCACGCTTCAAATGATTCCAATTCAATCGAATGTGTGTTTGTTTGCGGGGGAATAGTAGAACAAGACATTTTATTTTTTTAATTTTTTTAAACGTTTCACAAATGCACTTAACAATTTTAAATTCTAAACTAAAGTACTATGAGTCTAAATCACTGTGAAGGGGAACAAATGAACTAAAATAATAATTTTTTTTTGTTGAACTTGACAATTTGATCATGTGTTTTTTTTTTCAATTCGAAGGACCTCTGCATACACAAAAACCACAATCGAAGAAAGATTCTTTTTAAAAACTATGTCAATGGGAATAATTTAGGAAAAGCATACCACTATCAAAGTGAGTCATAATTTGTTGTCATTGGTACAAAGCGATATTGGTCTATTTATGGAATGGAAATTATGTTGCACATTTCAAATTGATCCAGTTTGACAAGTGAATCGAATATGATGTGTTTGTAAAAAAAAGAAGAAAATTTAAACTATACAACAAAAGAAAGAGGGGAAAAAATGTCTTAAATAACTAAAACTGTCACACGCAATACACAAAAGAATTTTTTTAAATTTAAACTTATGCAATAAATATGATGAAATGTGCTCCTGGTATAATATCCCTGAACTGTTTGTCAAGACGATACAATATGTTTTCTTTGTGTTTAAACTTATTTTGTGGTTGTTTGATCAAAAGTGTGTGGGGAGAATAGACTTGATTTGAGCTGAAGCAAACATTTGATCGACTTACAAATTACATATCACTGATCATTGTTTTAATTTAAGTGTTAGCCATTGTTCTGAACCATTTGTGTGCGTTGGCTTGATGCTTTAAATATGGAGAGTATTTTTTGTCTGTTCATTTGTTTTTTTCATCTTAGATTTTGTTGTAGTTTGAGTTTTTTTTTTCATTTGTTTCAATTGAATGCTGTTAATCAAATGAAAATTCATGTTTTTCGTCAAAAAAAAATATTAAAAATTACGAGATGTTTTGTGTTATGAGTTGTTCTTTGTGGGTTGGATAGAGTCGTTGTCATGTCCGTTGTCAAATGGAACCGGGTGGTAAAAGTGAGAGAACAGGTAACAGATTAAGCCACTCAAAATACCAAGCGCCCAAGTCGACGTAATGGACGTTTAGCTGTGGTGCGACGTTCCTGTTGATATGGTGAGTCCTCATCGCTTTTGGGCGACGAGCCAAGTGGACGCTTTGTACATTTAGCATTTACATGCCGATTACCATTGCAATTGGTACAAAATTCAAAGCCGCACGTTCTCTTTGAGCAAACTGCATATTCACTAAAAACTACCTTGCCAATCATATTGTTTGCTCGATTCTTTGTGGCGCTGCCAGTCGAAGATCGCAAGAATCGATCTTGGTAGATAAATCTGCCGATAGAGAAGAAGACACCATTTAAATACATCACATTCGATTTTAGAATGTTTGCAAAACTTACATGCTATGAAGTTGTCTGCGTGGGCTTCGGCGTTGTATTTTGACTTCAGTTGTAGTAGCTGGATGAACGATGCTAGTTCCGTTACATCGTGGACAGTGAAGAACTCGTTGTTCTGGCTTCAAGCTCTTGACAATCTAAAGAATTTAAAAGCAATGATTCGATTAATGCATTAGCGTTGAAATGTGGCCAAAGCAAATATTGCCAATATTGACATTGTACACTTACGCTTTGATGTTCATTGAAACGCTGTGTGGATGGACTGACTGCCATCGGTTTTCCCTCAATGGTACTGTTCAGATTGTGTACATGCAACGGTTTCACATTATTGTTGTTATTGACAATGGGTTTGATTTCGTTGCGATGCACATTTTCTTTGATCGTTTGCATGGTTCGAACGAATTTACGGCGTCGGATGCGGAATTTGTGATTGCCATCGACAAATGATTTCCAGGATTTGCACACGGAATACGCTGCTTGCAGACTTTCATCGGGCAACAATTCCAAAATGTTCTCCACAATATCGACCATTTCGAATTTTTTAAGATGCGACAAAATGTCCAGCTTTTCTAAGCCATTGTAAAACGATGGCCGTGGGCAAATCGCGTACAATTTACGTTTGGCCGACGGTGCATTCGCGGCAGGCGAATCTGACCGTGCAATGGCGGCCGGACGCTTCAGCTGTCTGCGTGGATATTTCTTTGGCGGTGTACATGGCAAATGGCCATAAACAATTTCGAATTTTTCCTTCTCCGGACTGGATTTGATCGCCGATGCAAAACTGTAACTGGTGCTTTTTTCAAAGCGTTTTGTTGGCGTACGATTTGCCTGCTCACAGATATTTTTCTTCACAAAATCACTACGATTCGGTGTATCACTACTAAACATTGCTTGAGATTTACAATTTGTACTTGGTGTTGTCATGGTTGGCATCACAACCGAATCAACAACACCATTGCTGTCTTCTTCACATTTGCGAGAATCAGTCTCATTTTCCTCTTCTGCCGTAGCCAGTGACATGAAAATATCACTTTCATTTAAGCTATTCATTGCTTTGTTTGGCATCACTGTTGGCTGGATATGTCGCATGGTTTTCTTCCGTGAGAATTCCTTCACCAAACGTGAATTACTTCGGTGTGTATCCAGACGTTTGAGCGGCAAACACTTTGTTGTTGCTGCTTTGCTGCTGGCTTCAATCTCATCTTGGTGCCATTTATTTGAATCCGTCAAAGTGGCGGGTATATCGTGATGAAAATTATTGACAAGTTGATCAAATTTTTGTGGTGTAAAATCCAACACTTTACGTGCTGGATTATTATCGGGTTGTTTGTCAGCCTCAACACATTGGTTCTCACCGCGCTCGATAACATTTTGCTGGAATCGTTCACGCAACGCCAAACGTTTTGCTGGGCTAAAACTTTGAGTTTTACGGATTAAACGGCTTCGAATCAATTCATCGGCCATGCATGCCTTTGTCTTGACAATTGACTGTGTGCGAATTCGCTTGAAACTATTCTTTGGTGTACTTGAATCAATGCCAGACGGATGTCGTTGCAAACCCACCACCTTTTCGGGTTGCTTAGCCATCAAAATGTTGCTGTTGTTATGTGCTTTGATTGGGCTAACGCCAATGCTTTGATCGCATGGATTCTCCACATCTTCGTTGAATGTGTTCTCGTCATAGTTCTCGTCGATTGACTCGAACAATGTTGATCGTGCCGAAATCGATTTGCGTTGTGATCGAAGCCGCGGCGATGATTTGTTTAATGACCATCGAATGCTGTTTTGACTCTTATTCTGTTGGTCACTGCCACGCGAACCGCTGTCATGCACATTCGAAAAGTAGTTGGCTTTCTTCGGTGTCGTTTCCATGTGATTGCGTGCATTTTGCGGCGTATTTATATGGAATGCATCAAGATATCGCATGCTTCGTGTCGTCGGGGTTTCTTGTAAACCTGTTTAGAGTATTTAAGAATATTTCACATTTAGGATAGAAAACGAAATTAAGATTTTCAGTACAACTCTGCGATTTAAATGAACGATATCCTTTTGAACTCAGGTATCATTGAATTCTTCCTAACAACGTTTTAGTTTCAACAACAAATATTCATATATTTTTTTGACAAAAAAAAATGCTCCATAAAAACTCACCACCCAGTTCAATATTCTCAGAGATTGGTTCCAATTCGGTGGATCTTCTGAATAACGATGACGACAATTTGGCTGAGCCGCTCAGTACCGATGTGCTTGCTACAACATTGCTATTTGAAATAGACCAATTTTCCGCGAAACCACTGTCGCCCACAGAATCGCTGCGGTCACCAAATAAAGCCTTTTTATGCGCCATGTCCATACCATGAAAACTACCAATGGCATTTGGATTTGTTGATACTTCAGCATTATCCATTTTTTCTCTCCCAATTTTACCAAATCAATTGGGACTCTGAAACATCTAAAACATAATCCGATTAGACTTAAATATGCACTCTGAACTTAAATTCTGCAACGAATGTTGCTATTTTCAAAATTCACTCATTCACAAAATTCACTTATTGATAAAATTGGTTTAGTTTGAACCATTTTTCTCCGTACATAAAATACCGTACAAACGGATGAAATGCGAAACAAAATCACTAAAACATTCAAATACTTCGAAGCGACGATAGAAAGTTTAAAATTGAATCAATTAAAAGGCTAACGCAAACTAAATGCTAAAATTGTGATTTAAATCCATCAAACTTTCAACAAACCTGATTTAGATAATTGTATTTTATGTTTTTTTCTTTTCAAAATCAATTGCAAAAATTGTTTGTACGCCACCAATGAGAAATGAACGCGCGCTACAAAGATCCTTTAAAAGGAAGATGAAAGAGGTAGAAAAAAAAAACAAACAACAGCAAACTATTTAGCTCCAAAAAATCTAGTTTGCGTTTCGGTACGCCATATTTTCAAACTGTTGAGAGACTCTAACACCGATCTGATGTTATTTGCGTGATTTAGTTTAACAGACTCATGTATGCGTGCATGAAGAGAATGCTAAGCAAGAGCGCGCTCACACATACACACAAATCGCACACGCTTTTTCTCCTGCTCTCCCTACATATATTTGACCATGGACGCAAACTCACCCATACTTAAGCGATGATTTGGTTGCATGGCGCTAAGCATACTTCGATTGCGCGCTGATACGTATTGTGTACGTGCTGTGTATGTATATGCATATGGTATGATTCGACCGCAGTGTCTGTTGGAATGTCGATACAGCAGTTTTTTTTGTGTGTGGTTCAATTGGTTTACATTAGTAAACTTTCAAACTGTTTACCTACGGAATAATGTAGTATAATGGTCTTTTTTTTCGCTCTCAATGTAAATTGAATCGTGAAAATCGATAATATTTAATCAATGTAACATAAACAGAATTGGCTGCTGGTAAACATTTGAACAATCGAAAATATTCATTGTAAATAGGTAAAATGACGTCACTTACTGTTTACTCTGCCATTTGTCATGCATCAAGTTATTTAAAACCCATCAATTCATATTGTAAAGTAAAAAAAATAAGATTTTTTTTTTTATTCACTTATAAAGTTATTATAATTTATTTAACAGCATTTGTTTTTAAATCATATTTCGGTGCATCTATATTATTGACGCCGAAGTGTGTGGTGAGTTTCATCACGGTTATGTGAATAATTGAAAGTATAATCAAAAGAATTTCACTCCTTCTTCATCGATCAGTTCACATCGGCCGGATTGTTCTAATCGTCTTAGGATTTTCAATAGGATGTCATTGCTAAGTCCATAGAATTCTTGATCGGTGGAATTGTCGCCGTTGGTTATTTCGAATGTGGTGCACACTTGACCAATCATTGCATTGTCGGAAACCCATTTGTAAACCAAATTGGCCCATTCGTCCAGTGTAAACCAGTATACTTCCCATAGGTCCCGTTTCTTCGGATCGACCGGTGCGGCATGGGCTGATTTCTCTAATGTGCTCATTACTAATGTTCGGCCGTCGACATTCAGACGTCGATTCAATTCCTTGTTCACAAATAAATCCGTATTTTCATCGTTGATATTGAGAACGGGTTGCTTCAATGATTTCTGGTATTTCATCACCAAATCGGCCCAAGTGTTCAGTTGAGTTTCACGCGTTTTTGCATGCATCTGAATCCTATTCACACAACAAATCGAAAACCAAATCACATTTTGTTTATTGTGGACCGAACCAAAAAGGCAAAAAAATCCAATGTAATGAGCGAAAAACTTACGTGTAAAATGGTGGAAAACTGTATTCCCATGGCCAAGCAAAATCGGCCATAATTTCGAGAGGATTTTGATTCGTGCCCGAAATTCCAAAATGATAAACAAAGTAAAATCCGATCTATTCACTATATCTAACTAAATTACACTACCAAACAGTGATTCGTAATCGAAATTGACAGACAAATCGTACGTGTGTGTGTATATATATGTTGCTACTGTCAGTAGCTCTCTGATATCGTATATACACAAACACACTGATGTGTGATGGTCGGACTGTACGACAGAGGCCGATAGTACTGTGCACCGAGACAACGACGATGTTTGTTTATATTGGTGCAAGTGCACGAATACATTGTTATATGCAGTGAGTGAAAAAAAGAAGAAGAAGAAGTGATGTTTTACGTACATTATTGGTTGGTTCTCATGCAATCGCGTTTAGCGATGAAAACAACACCAGAATGATAAGACCCTATAATCAGCACAACGAATGAAATTTTTCATAAGTGCATAGGACAAATTGGTTGAGTTTGATTTTTTTTCTGTTGTGTTTTGCTGTGTGAACCCTGTCAAAAGAAAAACTTAGAAATAACGCGAAAAGTGCTAGAAAAGAAATCCCAACCGCTTGCCTCGCCAATAAATAAATATTCCAATTCGTTGATCAATTTAATTTTTCATCGAATTTGGTTGTGTTTGCGATACAACGATACGTGAACGAGATTGTAGTGAAGGAGAGAAACGAAATAAATATTTACAATAGTCTGCATTTATTGGGCTCTGAACGTATATAGCGTATTTAACTTTCATCATCTTTGATCCAACGATAGAAACGAAACGAAATAGAAAAAAAAAAACAAACAAATAAACAACAATGATTACCATTAAATGAGAGTGTAAGTGAAATTTATGGAAAATTTTCCTTCATAAAGTACAATTCGGTTGGTCAATTTTACATTTACACAAGGAAAAGACCATTTTTATCATTTGTGTTGACATGAAATCCATGTTAGCTTTTGCTATTGTTGTTGTTTTTTGTTGTTGCTCTTGTTGTGATGTGCTGTGCTGTGCTGTGATACATTGATAATTTAATTGAAGCAGCAGTTTTTTTTTCTCTTCTCGACACACACGTCATGATGACAAAAAAGAGAACTGCAAATAAATGGATTGATTGGAATTTGACAGCAGATGTGTTTGTGTGTGTCAATATTTAGGCGATGCAAATCCCATTCGGAATTAGTTACGAAAAACAAATTCAATGGAAGAAAAAAATGAAAAAAAAACCACAAGCCAAAGTGTGTGTACCTGTCAGTCATGAACCTCTTCCTGTTGGCTATAATTAGGTTACATTTTTATAAAGATCAGTCAGTTGTCGCTGTAGCAAAACTATAAAGTGCAATGCAGTGCATGCACTCGTATTCGGTTGCTATTTTTCATTCCTCTTCTTCTTCTTCTTTTCTTTCTTCTGTTCCCTCCTCGTATTGAATACGATAAAGAAGAAAAAAGCTCAGGCCGACTTTCCTTCAAGTGACTTGTTGCTAAATAAATATATCGATTTTTATCCCCATTTGTTTTCAAACAATGCGGAATGTGAACCAATTTCATGTGCATCTAGTCAAATATTGCCGAATTAAATTATTCAATATAATTCTCACTGTAATTGGCAAATACAAACATTAAAGCATTTATTGTCGAATGCAAAATAATTATACACTTGCGGTTCGTTTGATTTATGGGCCCGTTTCGCGCGGCAATACAATAAACATGGAACGGACATTAGTCCCTTTCTCTTTCGATTACCCTTGTTTTACAAACTCATACACACCGAATGATACGTGTTGTCACAATACACAATACACAAAATCCATTGCTCTTATCTTCATTTTCAACATTTCATAATCACAATCGTTTTTTTTTTGTCTGTTTGTTTCATTTTCAGCACATAGTTCAATTTTCTTAGTATCATCAAGTGTTTTGCGGAGCAAACGTTACGAACGAGCGACAAAAAAACACACAAACACAAAAATTATGGAATTCTTCTGCTGTGCAAGAATTACGTCGAATTGATGATGTATATTTTTTTTAGATGGCATTCAATTTCAATTGTGAATGACAGAGAGCGAGAGCGAGAGAGAGAAAGAGAAAAAGACAGAGAGAGAGCGAGAGCGAGAGACAGTTAAATTTCAGCGTTGATTCCGTTTGCTCGATTTGATTGATAAAAGAAAATCAAATTTGAGAATACGAATCGAAACTTGTTATCGACGTGAATTGAAAGAAACAAATGCAACATGGAACAGGTAAGGAAGATTGTATTCTAAATTAACGAAAAAGATATGTTTCTAAAGGAACAAAGCACTTATAATTTCCTGTGTGTAATTTACAGGAATGCCATACTAAAAGTACAATGTTGCATACGATTAGCGATCCAGGGGAAAATGTTAGCAATAATAATGGGATTGATGGCAATGCAAACGACAATTTATCGATGCGTTTTATATCGATGGTGCAATATCGGAAGCAGCCAATTTTAATTGGCTCACCGCTGGACAGTATGTTTGGCGAAAATGATCGAAACACATCCAAAGTGATGCGATTGGGCACATGCTACAAGTCAAAGGTGGGTATTTTTTGAGGATATTATTTGGAATTTCACACAAATAATTCGAGAAGAAAAATGTTTGATCTAGAAAATAATTTTTTTTTGCCTTAGATCTCGGCCAATGGACGACGAATTGCTGACACATCACTTCGTATGCGACCATATTTTATCCCCGAACGTTCGCGCACTAAAAGCGAAACCAGTGCCGAACCAGAGTCATTTGCCGGCATGAATTACACGTGCACAAACATCAGCGGCGCGAGTAGTGGTGCTGGCAACAATTTCTATACCGATTCAATGAATTCGAATAGTAATTCGATGATGGAAACCTGTGATGCATATTTGAGCTCGGACTGTGGTGGCGGCGGCGGAGGCGGTGGTGGTGGCGGATCTAGTGGTGGTCCACATTACAATAACGGTTTCACAACGTTCTATTGCAATCAAGTGCTGCCAAATACACATTTCCTCAACAGTAACCAGTACTTCAGGCCCATAAAGTGCGCATCGTTGACCGGTCAACTCAAAAAGTGCAAATCATTGGAAAGTGTTCGCGTTGAAAACATCGATGGATCTCAGCCATCACACGAAATGGAATTCGTATCTAGTCGCATTCAAAAATTAAAGGTGCATGAATAAACTGATTTAAAAGCAAAGCAAAACGAAAAACAAAACAAAAAACACACACACACAACAGAAATGAAAAGTCATGACCTACCAACTGTGTTATACTGGATTTTACCACAGTCCGACACAAAAAAACAGATCTTTTAACAGAGAGAAACGAAAACAAAAAAAAATTGTAAATAAATTCACGGTGATGGACACGATTCTTACGAATATAAAAAGAAAATTATTTACCAATTGACTACTTCTCGAAACGAACGCGCAAAATAACTCAATAAACAGAAAAAAAAAATGCATAAGAACCACACTTTCATCTGTAATTTTAGACTAATTAATCTACGTCTTGGGCGATATTGTAATTATAAACAAATAGCTCTCCCCTTCAAATATGCAATGTAAATCTAGTTCTTTTTTTCGTTTTTTTTTTTTCTAAAAAAAATGAACAATTTCTTTGTTCGTCAATATGATTTGTATGTTCATTTTATTTGATATGTAGCGAAATAAATAAAAGAAAAACGATTTAATCTGAATTTTGAATGTGCTTTTTCGATTATTTGGCGGATGTTTGAATGGAATTAGACATAAAAGTACTTGGAAAACCGAGCAGTTTGAAGTGAAACGATTCATTGAAAATGCCAGAAACAAAATGTTGACTGTTAACATATATGTTTCTTCATAAAATCACTATGATTCGGAGTATCACTACTAAGCCAAAATATCACTTTCGTTCAAGCTATTCATTGCTTTGTTTAGCATCACTGTTGGCTGAATGTGTCGCATGGTTTTCTTTCGTGGAAATTCTTTCACCAAACGTGAATTACATCGTGTGTGAATTCAAATTTTTTAGTGGCAAACACAAACAATTCTTTGATACTTCTCTACAGCTAGCTTCAGTCACATCTTCAAAGCTATTAATTAAAAATCTCGATATTTTCATGTTTGTAAACATCAACTGAAAGAGTCTCATAGTGATTCATTGTCTTTCCATCAAATTCACCATGGGCAAATCGATAAAAGTCTTTATTGAGATCAAATTCAGTTCGTTACAAATGATATTGACAGAGGCAGCATGAACACAGATTGTCATTGAAACACACTATTTTCTGATTTTTTTTTTTGTTTCATTTATTTTTTCAAATATTCTTTCGAATTAGAATACTTTACATTTTAACGTAATAAGAAGCATTTTGATGGAATTCGTTGGATGGTCAGTCATTCCAGTGTGTTGGTAAAATGATGCTTGTGAATGTTTTGCTTATGAACGTGGACGCTCCTTCTTTTCTTTGTACAGAGCAAGCAACGATACGTTGGCTACTTTAACAACCTGTGAGCGCGGAAAAAGAGACGAATTGAAATGAAATAATTAGGAATGAATTCTTTCACATGACCATGTCCATGTTTCATATCCAATGAATTTTGAACTATGGAATTGGTATCGTTTCACTTACCTTGAATCGTACTCCGGGAATATCACCGACAGCGTGACCTTTACGACCGAAACCGGCAACCAACACTTCATCGTTTTCTTCAATATAGTTCAAGCTACCGTCCCGTGGTACGAAAGCTGTGATTTTCTTGCCGTTTTTGATGAGTTGCACTCTCACGCACTTACGAATGGCAGAGTTAGGTTGTTTGGCTTCGACACCACTGCAAATAAAAGAAGAATCGCAAATTGGAATTAGTCACACGTGCTTATCATCATTTTCGTTAATATGTTTTTTCTTAATTTAACATCAACAATATTCTCGGCTGCATCCATTTTGGTTGCGAAACGGAATTTGTATACAAATATATAGCGCCATACTCTTGCACACTGTACAATGTGTTTTCAGTACAAACATTATAGGTTAGATTTTTTTTTTGTTTCGGATAACAATCGAATTGAAGGATGACAATCGATGGATGGACGGACCGACGAACGAACATTGATGAATTAGCAGATCAACATCTCACAGTATACTCCTGTGATTGAAACATTTAAACAGTCAATAACACAAGTTTATACTGCGAAACATCGAACCGAGCGCGTGTCCATCACGTTAGCACCAACCATAAAACCATGCAACACACTATATGAAGTCTATAGAGCACATTTTTTTCGGTTCTTTTTTTCTGTTTTTTTTTTTAAGCACTTCTTTTGACAAATCACTTTGACTAAGATTGGGTTTTCGCTACCGTTTCGCACTTACACTTTTTCAAGAACGATGCCTTTGGCGTGAGAAGCACCACCGAATGGATTGGCCTTCCAACGGGTTCCCAAATGAGCTTTTTTGTAATCCTTGTCAGCCCATCGTTGGTCACGACGGTGGTTGACGTGTTTACGTGCGGTACGGAGACCTCTTGGCTTGCCTGAAACATACACAGAAATCAATTAGCATTTTTCAACGTTCAACTAAAGTAATTGTTGGTTTGTGACTGTGGAAAATCCAATTGCAAAGTCAATTCTGAGGAAAATAATGTGCGCGGGGAAAAAGTGAGGCTATGTTTATGCGAAACAAAGTTATACATAAAATAACCTCAACCAAATCAAACGATTCATGATTGAAACATTTTGATGTATGTGCCAATATCAAAGTGTTGATCAAAATTTTGGGAGAATCATTGAAAAAGTGAAATTTGGTGCATGCAAAGTAAGCGGAAAAAGTGCTGCTTGAGAATATGGCCCATTTGAGAATGTGAAGGCAACTGTCTTCAATTGACATATTGAAAGATGTTTGTTTGCCGATCGAGACCTTTGACGGAATTTCATTTGTTGAAATACTCAAAATATCCCACAAATATAATTCCAAACCCATCATTCGAACGTAATACAATGCAATTTTAGCGAAATGTTCATCGGATGGTATGAATTGAAGGCGATTTTCTTTGATATTTACATGCGTCTTGAAAATGTCCATTGAAAACTTTAGCATGATACACCAATACATTGCCCTGTTTCACTCAATCATTTCTATGAATTTCGTGTATCCCAATGCACAATGTGCGATTGTATGTGTGCGGTCTCTCTGTACACCATTGAAACTGGACTTTGCATGCAAATTTTTTCGAAATTTTCGAACAAAAAAAGGATTTTTCGAAAAAACTGCATATCAATTCGGATAAATAATGTTTAAAACTTGCGATAGCACCCATTTTTGGCAATTATTTCTCGCGAAAAACCGAAGAAAAAATTATTTTTTAGCACTCACCCATGACTTATGTATACGTTCACGATTGTGGCGGAAGTAAAAAGAACGACATTAGTTATGGCGAAACATGTTTACACTTCACATCAACTAGACGGCAGGCGATTTGAAGCAGTCGCATGGAATTGCCGCGGTGTTGCCCGATGTTGCGCTGTCATTTTGACATTGTCTAGTCTCAGTGCATACCGCATATATTGCGGAAATTTAATGAATTTATCTTAGAAATTGCGTCTAAATGGTTGATAAGATGATTTGTTTCAACCAATATTTTGATGGGTCAACAATTTTGAACTTTAAATATCCCACAATTTTTTTTCTACCTGGATTTGAAAGTCAATTCACGTAGTCAAATCAAATACTTTGAACAAAAAACAAACACCCATGTTGAACACCGTTTTACGGCAAAATCACCAAATTTTTAAATAAGAAAAAATTGTCATTGTCATTTTGGCAATTTGTACAAATTTATTTATTCAGATAAAAAATACTGTAGTGTTTATTAAAATCAATTGAATTAGTGGTTCTATTCTTATTAAATCATTTCAAGGCGTATGTCACAGTCTTTCGTCATCACAGTAAGTTCATGTCATCGAGCTGCATAGAAAAAAAAATATTAGTTGCAGATTTTCAAGCGTAAAAATATCTCAATTTAGATAATATTTAGGACAAAACAGACGGCACATCACAACATGACTTGACACAAAAAATACCGCATGTGTTACAAATGTGGTTGTGCGAGATGGTATTCATTAGCGATTGTTGCATTTGGTGCGTCTGGTGGTCGTTACCCAATTTTTGATCTGTTCCTCCAAATTTGGCATCATTTCATCTAAACGAGTTTCAATTTCGACGAAGCGATTATTAATTTCGACGAAGCGATTATTAATTTCGTCGAAGCGATTATTCATTTCGATCATCATTTCAACGAGGCCCAAAAGTTGGGTATCGATTCGGTCCAACCTTCTTTCGTGATCCAAAATCACTTTAAGCACAGTGACTGAAACAAATGAAAAAAATAATGAAAAAAATATAAATAAAATCCAAAGGATTTGTATTCTTACGAAACAAGCAAATAAAAAGCGATAAAATGCAAGCAACGACCAGCAAAGCCTCCTTATTAAGATGAACAATAATTTCTTGATCCATTTGTATATATAATATGATCGGAGTTTGTTTTAACAATGGCGGTTTGTTGCTGAACCAAAAACGAATACGACAATAGCAACAACAATATTGAAAATGAATACCATCTTGGGTGAGGTGAATTATTTCAAATAATCTCACCAATGTTCAAATTTCAATATCTACCACTTTCACAACCTAACCAAACAATTCAAATAATGACTTACTGTCATTCAAATCAAAACAAACACATTACGACGAAATTTGTCAAATTTCGTTTGATTTGGGTGAAGCGAACGAAAAAAGATTGTGATTTTATTTTTGATTTCAGACATTGCGGATATAATAAACGGAGAGGATTTACAATGCCTGAAGGAACCGTTGCGCTACGAATATGCCAGGAAGGTCACGCAAATGCTCTTGCACTCAACAAAGACAGTACACAAATTGCAGTTGCAGGACGTTCTTGTGAGTAATATTTTTTTCTTCACAATATGTTCTATTCAAATGAGAAATAAAAAATGAGCCAAACATTTTCGATTTTTTAAATGCAATTCTGCAGTGTTAAAGGTGTTATCAATTGATTCGGATGGCTTTACCGAAGTATGTAATATGCGCAGTGGTAAAAATCAGAATCTCAGTTATTCATCGAATGATGTTGCCTGGAGCATGTTGGATCGGAATTTATTGGCAACGGCTGCAACGAATGGCGTTGTCTCGGTATGGGATCTCTCGAAATTTGGTCGTCAGAAGCAATTATACGTGTATGCTGAACATGAGCGTACAGCACATTCGGTTACATTTCATACGACTGATCCGAATTTGCTGCTGTCAGGTTCGCAGGATGGAACAATCAAATGTTTTGATATGCGAACGGAAAAGTCCGTCAATACGTACTACAGCAATTCGGAAAGCGTTCGTGATGTGAAATTCAGTCCAGTTGTGCCGAATTTATTCGCTTCCGTTTCGGAAAATGGAACCGTGCAATTGTGGGATTTGAAACGAACCGATCGATGTCAACAGCAATTTACAGCGCACAGTGGACCAATTTACACGTGTGACTGGCATCCGACGCAACATTGGCTGGCCACTGGCAGCAGAGACAAACAGATCAAAGTGTGGAACATGGAGCAAAGATCATCACTAGAATATACTATTCATACGATTGCAGTGGTGGGCCGAGTGAAATGGCGTCCAGAGCGTACATATCAAATAGCATCGTGTGCCATGGTTGTCGATTACAGCATTTATGTTTGGGATGTGAGACGACCATTCATTCCATACGCATCATTCAACGAACACTCAAACGTTACGACGGGAATCGCATGGAAAGCCGATCCACATGTATTACTTTCAACCAGCAAAGACTCGACCATTTTTAAGCATGCATTTAAAGATGCTCAAAAGCCAAGCGAACATGCGAATCCACAGGGGACAACGTTTAACTTTAGAGGCGACTTCATTTATTCGTATAAAATAAAGAATCAGCCAATCAACAATACCACTAGCACTAGCTTTCGGGCAGCTCTAATGAGTGGCGGTCGAAAAGTGAACGAACCCGTTGAAGATCAATTTCATGTAGCCCGATCATCGGTTATGAATTATACATCAAAGTCTATGGTGAGACCCATGAAATGAAAATTTGTTTCTCGAAATTATAACGTATTGTTTGGTTTTGAGTCTCTCATTTAATGATTTGTTGGCATGCTCTTCTCGAATGAAAAGCATGCATTTCTCTATTCGTACTGTTCATTTCTGTTTGTCAATCCCACAGAAGGACGTATTCCAAGCACAAACTCTACAGCAAAAGGACTATTTTGTTCTGCAAGAATGCGCACGAGGATATATTTTAAGTGGAAAACCATTGGCCACTTTATGCGATCATAATGCACAAGTGGCTAGAAATCTCGGCAAACACAATGTATCAATGCTGTGGCAATTTGTAAAAATAATTTATTCGTCGATGCCAAAGCAAAATTCAGACCCGTTTCGAAATACAACTGCCAATCAAAATCTTTTGATGGCCAATCGTTTGATGTTGGCAGCGCCAAATTCGAATGCACCGCACTGGGTCGATGAGAATTCCGATGAAAAAGCCACCCATCCCAACGAATCCAATACGGATGAAGCGAAGCAAAACCATTTCACCATACCAAAAATCGGTGAACTGAGCAAATTAACAACGAATCAGTGTAATATCGAAGACGGTGCCACCGATGCACTGAACAATATTGTTTACGGCGAAAACGAACTAACTGTCGAACATATGGATTGTATTAAAAGTTTACGCAACGGGTTTTTATACATCGGCCCACATGATTTGACCAAAAATTTCTCATGGCCCAGCGACTCCATAATGAATCATGATATGCAGCAAAGCACTCGACAGCAGGCTCTATCGAGAAATCGACGTGATGCGTCTCCGGTATGCCACCGTTTCTTCTATCTTGACTGACTTCAGTTTCTGTATTTTCTAATTCAAGAACCTTTTGTTTTTCATTATTCAGCCTTCGGAAACACCTAGCGTACTTAAAGTCTTACTCCAGAACACAAGCAACCCGCAATGGAATTCTGGAAAAGTGTTGGCTGACTGTCTAAATCTTTTGGTGGACATTGATGATTTACAAACAGCCGTTTACATTTTGATTGCTTTGGGCGAACGAAGAAACGATTTACCAATCGATGAATCTGTTCATGTAAGTGGCTCGAAGATTTTCATTTAAGTTGGAAGCACCCAACTCAGAGTTTATCTTTTTTTTTATTCAAGAACTTGAGAATTTTCTTTTTTGTAACTGAAGTGTAATTCGTTATCCCAACAGGAATATTGGCTGATTTCCTACATCGATCTATTACAACGGCATCAATTTTGGCGTGAGGCCACTGAGGTTGTTAAGTTGTCCTGGTTGCGACGCGTTTGCCAAGTGAATCAGCAGTCAACATCTGTTCATATTAATTGCGGCGATTGTGGTCGTTTGGTGTCGAATTCAGTTAGCTGTTATTGTAACAAGTGTAAATCGCTGCAGAGTTCAAAGTGCAGCGTTTGCAACCGTGTTGTTAAAGGTGTCTATGCATGGTGTCAGGGGTGCTCGCACGGCGGTCATTTGTTACATATGAAAGAATGGTTTTCGAATCATTCCAAATGTCCACGTTGTGGTCATCTTTGCGAATATGAATAACCATATGAAAGACTTGTCCAGCACATTTTACTTAAATGAACTGTTTTTTTCTTCTAAATGAACACAAATAGAGTTTTTATTTCGATAAAATAGCCATTGATTTGACCTCGTCTATTCATATCATAAGGCTGAACAAAGCATTCGTTTTTTTTTCATGTTAAAAAACAACAACTTTTTTGTCTATGAAGCACAAATATGTACAAATGCATCCATTTGTAATTTTATAATATTGTGATATTAAATTGTAGTTTAAAATGGGAACTGAAATACATTGTTATTTTTATGAATGAAAATGTGATTTTGTAATTTTGCATTTTTTCTAAATTGCAAGAGCATTTATTTTGAATACTTTCCAAGTACGATTGAAGGACTTTGTAAGACGCTACGAATCAGAGTCATTACAATCATTTGATGACATTTTTGTGCATTGTTCAGTCAACTTGCCTGATGACGGTAATATGGTTCCTGAAAATGGGGGCGAAACATCGTTTTCGTAATTTCTATCAGAATGAGAAGCCCATAAATCACCATCTAAAATTAAATTTTGTATTTGTATTCAAAAAAATAGAAAATTTCCCCCAAAGAATGTTTTTTTTCTTCTTATCATTATATCGATTTTACTTTGATTTTTTGTTGGCAAATTGATTTGTGGTTCTGTTTTTTAGAGGTTAAACGGAACAAAACAGTGACTAGGCTTCTAGCAGCAGGTCGCAGCAGTTACGAATTATGTGAGGCGATGAGGCTGCAATCGTATGTGTATATGGACACAAACATAAACTATTAATGGTATAATGATAAAGATGACAGATAATGAAAGAAAATTTGTTTTTGTGAATATTTTCTGAAATAAAATTACTTATCTGCAGTGTCATATTATCATATAACAGATATTTTCATTCAAGTTAAATAGGCGATGTAACATGTTGATCCAATCGATTTAAATAAATGCCACTTTCGAAATACTTTTTATTTGATTAGCTAAATTGATTCAGGTAAATATAAACTTGGTTTGGAAATAATTTCGCTAGATGCATCTTTAAAATGTTGAAAAAAATCCCATTGTTTTTTTTTTTAATAATTCCAAATAATATATTTCAATAAAATACATTTGTGTGTTTTTGTTAATTTGTACAACAATCAATCCATCTAAATAATGTTTAGCGTCGATAAGAATGCGCGTGCATATTCGCTGATCCCCGTCATTTTTTGTTTGTTTTGTTTTCAGTGTTATTAATCATTGCGTAGTGTGTTCGTGTTGTTCGTTCAAAAATAAAATCAATTGTCAAATGTGGTAAAATTGGAAGTTCGTTATTCATTGAATATGCGCGCACAAATTCGTGTCGCTCGCAAAAAACAATAAAATCATACAAATTATAACTTAGCATTTCGACTGGCTGTGTTTTCTTTTCTACCGTTTCCTCTTCAAATTGTTGATTCCTCTTCAAATTACACATAGAATTCCAACAATTTTTCTTTCTCCATATATATTTATCAAATATATGCCGAAGTCTTAGCTTCCAAAGCGTATTTTCTTCGTTTCATTCTTTTTCAATCTATGTGATGTGTCTATTTAGCTCATGATTATAGCTAGTTTCTAAAAAGTCATTTGAAAATCAAAAGAAAAAAAAAATTCGAATCTACTTGTTCTTCTCTCTAGTTTTTCTTTAAAAACAATAAATAATAGTCAAATTAAAAAGGAAATAATAGAATTAATAATAATACTACATGCGATCATTTTGGATTCTAATGAAGTGGAACAAAGTCGGGATGAATGAAATGTAAGTGGCTACATTCCTTTTGATGTGTGTATGTGTTTGTTTGTTGGTTTGTGTTCATGTTGGTGGTTAATAGGCACAAATCGATGTTGAATCGCATGTTTATGTTGTGCCATAAATTGGGTCGTCAAATTTCTTGACTCGTACACGTTGCTTGTAGTGGTATTCCTTTAGGTAAGATTTCAATTTTTTCGGTAAACAAATGTCATTGATGCCATCGTAGGTGGTGTGACTAACAATGGTCGCTCGACACAATTGTTGCAACGAGAAGACAAAATTTCGATTTAGAGGTAGCGTTAATGCCGGTTCGAAGAACATCACACAGGCTGGATCTTTGTAATGCTCCAATAATCCCGTTACGGTTTCCGATGTGTACACTCCGGGATCATGACAGTCAAAACTGTTGGCATAAAAAAGAAGGGGAAAATGTTGATTCGAAAATTGTCACATAAATAATCATTTCTTGACTCTTCGTCAAGTCAAGAAGATAATTGGTCAACATCACGATAGTTCCACGAATGCCAGTCAATTTACCTACCTAAATTTGTGGTTAAATTGTTCGATGCGTGCATGAAGAGAGCGACCATATTTCCGAAATGATACCGAAAACAAGAATTCCTCTTGTGCAGAATCACGCAAAAGGAACGTGCCTTCCGGCTTGTTTTCCAACAACCGTTCAGCTGAAATTTTTGAAAAAAAAAAAAATGAATTATGAATCGGTTTAAAATTGTACTAAATTTTAATATTAAATCAACAGATAGAAACCTTCATATCGGTCCATTTTCCCCCAGTAAAACGAACAATTTGTTATCTGCTTTAAGTCCGGCACTAAACAATGAATATAATCCACCTGAAAATTTAGAAATATTGACATATTAAAATCTGGACGGGTTTGAATCGGTCATTCGTTTTTCATATTATTTCGTTGAGTGCAACTTTTTTTTCTCAACGAACAATTACGTTCAATTGAGAAAAACAAAATCACTTTTGAACAGAAATTTATGAACAGTATAAATAGAATACGTTATGGTTTTGGGAAAATGCAGCCTACCTGTGAATGTATTCTTGGCATATCGTCGGCATGCTGTAAAAAGAACCGCAGTGCCGAGGAATTCGAACAAACATTTGCAACGAGCCATTGCGATGTGTTGACATGTTGTGGATTCGATGCAGCAACTATATTATTTGCATCATTCACTGAGCTCGCCGGCATCGTATTCGGGATCAACCGTACGTTTGATGATGACATTGAGTTTAACGATTGCAAACTGGATTGAAATCCGGGCGGTGGTTCTACACCTTCGGCTATTTCAATGGCCCGTTGCAAACGTGCCTTTTTATCACAATCTTCAATCGAATACTCGTCAGAAAACCTGAAAATTCAAAGAAATTATGGATGAGCATTTTTTGTTCCCTTTCCAATCCGAAATTTGGTCGATTCAATATTGACAACATGTAAAAACAATTCGGTAGTTTTTCTCATTTTTTTTTTCTTTTCCAAATAAAAGTTTCATTCTCTCGCATATTTACCATGGTTCCTGTTGATCCATCGTGACAACGATAACATTTCCACCGTTTGCGCTGAACCACGGTGATTTGTCCAGAAGTAAAGCAGTCGATTGTTGTCCCGAAACAGCCGTGGGCCGATCAACATTGTTGCTATTGTTGTTGTTATTTGGTTCGGCATTTGAATTACCCGAATTGCTTGCCATTGCTGGTGCTAAATATCAAATGAAAAATCAATTTATGTTGAGAAATGAATTCACTGTCGACGTGATAATTTCTAATCATTCAAATGAACAGAGCAAATTCGATCAAGTGCACATACTTTCGTGTGAAAACGGGGAAGATAATGATTTGATCCCCTTCAGCTTAGCACAGTTCAATTTGATGCCCCAATTTGGTTTTTTTGCTTTCAATTCCTTCGAATCTTTGATAGTGGCGTTGTGTTTCTCACAACAGCTGCCATCGCTTTTTACGTTTCGGCATTCTAAAATTGAAATTGAAAAGAGAACATGAAAAATAACACATAGTTTATTTTGAGATAAGTGAATCGATTCCAATTATTGCCTATACATAGAAAAAAAAAACACACATAGAGATTGAACAAACGTTCGTTGGAAATCCGAATATATTTGTTCTTTGTTTTTATTGAAATTATAAACTAAAGTGTTTGAATACTTTATCAAATCTCCGAAACGCGTCGATAGTATGCATTTTATCAAATTTCCTCGAAACAATTTTATTACTTGGTAGTCATTCAGCGAACGAACAAGCGTACGCCTTAGAAGCAGAACCATTTCTACGAATTTTTCTACTACATTAATTGGTTTATGCGAAGTGCGACGCACACACCAATTAGAAGCGAGAGAGAGAAAGAGAGAGAGAGAGAAAACTGGGTTAGTGTATTGCAGGTGGTTGTCAAAATGTGATGTTATTTTCACATGCGACACAAACACTTTTCGCGAATAAACACGGGCAAAAAACGAGCAACAATAACAACCACAAAAGAAGAAAGAATAAAAAAACACCATATCAAATACGATGATTTAAGTTTGAATGACGCCGAATTTCGACGCGGTGAGCTAAAAACGGAATATGGTGTGTGAATGAGAGCGCGCACATTGTGACGCACATTTCCAAAGAATTTGATTCAATTCTATATAATAATATATTACGAATACATAAAAAATTTCTCATATCGTGATTCATACGAAAACATACGAAAAACTGTACGGTATAATCACAGTAGCGCATAGGAGCGTGAGTTGGAGGTCAATGGATACAAATGAAATAATCGGCTGTATTTACAAAAGACACATGTTAACAAATGCGATAAAATATTGTATTTTGATTGTGTAGCGGCTTCTACGAATTATTGAAAGCCCGCGTTTTGTCAAATTCTCATTTAGTTCGTCGTCTTCATCGCCTTCTATTTGTTCTTCTATTTTGCAAATTGAAATCGTTTTGAAGCAACGCTAATTGTTTCGAGTATCAAATTTAAAGTTCAAATTGCTTGCGCAATACATTAGAGCTGATTTCGAAAATTTGCAAATATTTTGACGTGAGAGAGCAGCGCATACTGTGTGATGACGCAATGTGCAAAAGAATCGACAATATCTGTGCAGCTAATACGAAATATATATATTAATGAATGAGGAGATACAATGAATATAGAAATATGACTTACGTTCATCGGCAACGGTATTCAAGTAATCCGGTCGAATGAGATTAGCAATTGGGATATGATGTGGATACGGTGATACTGTGCCAATAAAATTTGACGGAATGAAAGCACTTGAACTGTCCTGAATTGGTTTTGGTTTCATATCCGTTGTGTGCGGCAACGATCGATTCGTTTCCGGCGACGACGACGATGAAGATGAAGATGATGATGATGATGATGATGTTGTTGTATCAGTCAATGTAATTGTTTTGAGAGGGTGCACCAGGTGGCAATTCACCGCATTCGATAATGGCGGTTCTGATTGTGATGTGAAATTTGCTTGATTTTTATCACAGATTGAAGCTTCGCTACGCAAAGCACAATTTACATTTTGATTCTTAACACTATTCCGTTCGTTATTTTGACCGCTGTTGCTTTTTTTACCACTGCTTTCATACATCATTAAACTATTGATCATCGTATTGCCATCACCAACCACACTATTATTCACTCTCATCGATGATACGCCAATTCCACTTTGATTCAAAACTACATTGTTATTGTCCACACTAAAACTATTATTTTGGTTGTGTTTACTGTTTTCTTGTTGTAAATTTACATATGTATGCGACGATAAATTGTTCGCCGTATTTGTGTTGTTGATATCGCGCTGTGCTGGACGTGCGATCGATGAAAAATTGTTGTTATTATTGTTGGAATTGTTATCGTTTTGAGCTTCATCGTTGCTCCCAACACTACCACCGCAAAAACTTTTCGCTGATTCCATTTTCATCAGCCGAATTGTGATCACCACTGAACCGGCGTTGCGCTCTTGATTCGCCGCCGACGTGCTTGCAACTGCTGATTTCGTTGGAGCGGTTGCGTTGATGATGCTTCTGCTGTTGTTGCTGTTGCTGTTGCTGTTGCTATTGCTGACGTCACACCGTTGATTTTGTCCTTTTTTTAATTTTTTCGCATTTGTAGCGATTTGCCTATTTTTGCGACTTTTCACTTGCAAATCCTGTGCCGTTGTTGACCGTTTGCTATGCTGTTCGATACTGCTCATCATCTGTTGGTCATCAGACATCTAAATATGCCAAACCGGGGCACACGCACACACAAACACGAACCGAAAAACAAAAATAATGGGAAAGAAATATTTTCATTAAGCAAATTTTCGTATTGTGTTTACTTTCCGGAATTTATGAATTATCTTTAGCGAAAGAAATGAAAGATATGTATATGTTTTTACCTGCTGGCTCTGCTGCTTACTAATATGATGACCCATGTGTGACACTATAGAGTTTTTCGAACGTGTTCAAGGTAGGACTACAATGGTTTTAATGTTGTGCTTAACATTTTCTCGGGAACCGATTTTTATGATTCAGGTAGCCGTTGATAATAACACCGATTCCAGGGGCCCCAATGTGATGATTTATGGTGTAAGATTTGGCTCTCTCTCTCTCTCTCTCTCTCTCTCTCTCTCTCTCTCTCTCTCTC